TAGATACTGCTGGCGATCTTTAGAAATACCATTTCTGTGAAAAGCTTGGTAGAGGATTAGATAGCAGGGTGAAGTGTTATGAAGAATAAAGGTCTTTGATAAGAAAACTCAAGGGCAGATCCAAGTGTCTCCCAAAATTATGCACCGTTTATGAGGTGATTTCAGGTGACAGACAGATAAATATTTCATTTTTAATAGTTTTGTATTTAAACTGTGTTAAAATAGACAACCAATAAATCAAAGCTACAATCTCATGGATCTTATTATGAGGCTTCTCGTAAAAGACTATAAGTTTTAGTTAAAAAAAAACCTCAATAGATTTAAGGACATGTATTACAATAACACAGATGGTTTACATGGATAAGACAAAAACTGTCTTGCCCAAAGAACTAAATTTTTTAAAATATTGTTTAGACTATTCTTTTAGGATACTTAGCTGTGAAGGGAAGAGGGAAGACAGTTGCATGGGATTGCGAAAAAGTTTTTCTTAGAATGGGAAAAATTTGAGCATCTGTATTGGCTGAAGAGCCAGCAGTGAAGAAAGGGTGGAAAATTCAGGTAATGCCCAGGTGCAGTGGCTCATGCCTGTAAATCCCAACACTTTGGGAGGCTGAGGTAGGAGGATCACTTGAGCCCAAGAGTTCAAAACCAGCCTGAGCAACATGGTAAAACCCTGTCTCTACAAAATACAAAAAAAATGAGCCAGATATGGTAGTATGTGACTATAGTCCCAGCTACTTAGGAGGCTGAGGTGGGAGGACCACGTGAGCCCAGGAGGTTGAGGCTGCAATGAGTTGTGATTGTACCACTGCACTCCAGCCTGGGTGACAGAGTGAGACCCTGTCTAAAAAAAGAAAATAATATATCCAGGCACATAAGTGATTAATTGATAGAATGAGGCTCCAGAGAAGGTAGGAGGGGTGGGAGCTAATCACACAGGGGTGTTATTGGCCAGAACAGAATGAATACCACTTCTTCTAGAATGAGAAGGAGGAACATAGGAATGGATGTGGGTAAAGAAGCTTGCAGAGGTAGAGTGAAGTGTTAAGAAAATTCTCATCCCCAAAACCTCAATTTTCTCAGTTGTTTGTGGGGAGATGAGGGATCTATTGAGGGTGAAGTGGACAGAAGGTTTGAATAGAAAGGACAGGAAGCTTGAGGAGGGTGGTAAAGATTTAGCATAGGACTTGTGAGGTCAATGTGTGGAGAAGCTGACCATAGACAGAAAATAAATTAAGCAATGGTGTTGAGAGCACAATTATAATAGGTATCATGAAATTTTCATGACCCTAATCAGAATGGCTTGAAAGACTTCCTCCAGTAGGCCAAGATTGGGAACACTGAAAAGGGATGGGAAACTTATCCCAGTTGGAAGGGACAAGGAATGTGAGACAGGAGCTAATGAAAGGTTCAATGACAGATCATGGAGATAGAAACTGAATGGGAAGAAAAGAAGAGGAAAGGAGTGGAGATTTGGGTCAAAGAAAGAACATAACAGCAGTTATGTTCTCACATAGAGGAGCTTTAGGGGAAAACAAGGTCCTGGTGGCTGAAAAGAAGGGAATGCTGCGGTCACTGCAATTAAGAAGTCCAGACCTTGAGAAGGAATGGATGTGTGATCCTTACAAGAAGTTTCTCAAGATGTGGGCTCAAATTGTAATGGAAATATTGAGAGCTACAGGCCAGCGACTTCTAGGAATGTGAGGGAACTGACCAAGAGGTCAAGTGATGGTGGTGATGAAAAAAAGAGAATGGTAAAAGAAAAAGCCATTTCCCCTAACGTAGAGATGAGTCTAGAAGAGACAGAGGGGGCTCTGGAGCATATGGGGCAGAGCAGAAAGAACAGTCTCCATTAGAGGAAGCCACAGGCAAGAGACAGGAAGGGCTCTGTGCTCCATGAAGAGCTGTCAGTGTGGCTGGGGGTGGTTTGTAAGAAATATAGTTTGTTAATTAGCTTGATTCAATCATTCTGCATTGTATAAATATAGCATAGCATCATCTTATATATATATATGTATAATTTGTCAGTGTCTAATAAAAATTAAATTTAAAAATACTGTAACACAAAAAAGAAAAAAGGAAATACAGCTCCAGGGGGTCACGGGTAAAAGTTGGAAGGAAAGGAAACAGGGAAATGAAGGAACGGGCCAAAGGAAGAAAAGAGTGGTACGGGTGAGACAGGTCCATGTACTGTGACAGTGCATAGGTCTGCAAGAATAAGGGAGAAGTGAGGTTACCATAAGGCGCCACCTACCCACCCCCCCAAAACCACAGGAAGACGCACTGTATGCTCAAGCAGGATCCTGCCTTTCAGGAAAACAGGGTTCCTGGGCATTGGAGATATCTACAGGAGAGCTGTCTTGTATTAGGTAAAAAATGGTAAGCCATTTATTTCTACAAAACTACAAGAGACTTCTATGGAACAGAATCCTCAACTCTCAGCTTTCTTGGTTTACAGTAAAGTAATCTTCCCACAGCACACTCTAGCTCCTTTCTGCCTCTGCAAGGCCTAGGTCTGATGCTTGGGACCAAAGGTGAAATCAGCCTTAGGAAGAAATCAGATGTTTCTCTCAATGCTCATAATTCCCTCCAAGTGAACAGCAGATGGCAGCAAAGAGCTGGAAAGGGAGATGAGCCCTCAAAATATCTCAAAGTTGGCCAGATAGAAGGTACTAGGGCCCATTAACTTCTGTGGGGTGGTAGATGCTCTCATCCAGGTCCTGGAGTCAAAAGTCAGTTTGGTGAGATCACTCCACTTGTGCTGCAAGCTAAACCCTCACTGAGCCAGGTATCTATGGATTATTAGCAAGAACAGAGCATACTGTCTCTCATTACAGCCCTAACTATCTCTCACCTCGCCACTTAGGGAACTGGGCTATCGGGAAGATCTGCCCTAAGAAGATATAATTATCTTAGAGTTAGCCAAGTCTTAAGGATGTGGCTTCCTGGATTATTCTTTTGGAGGGAGGAAAGATGGCTAGTTGGTATTTTCCATGTCAGACCAGTCTAACCCAGCTACCTGACAGATTTTTATGGTGACCTTAGAGTACAAATATATTTAAATAACAGCCATGCAGATTTGGCTATGACTTCCATCACACACCCCAGAAGCCAGGAATGATGAGTAGGAGGGGTCTGAGGCCCAGGGACATCTATCTGCCTGGTTCTATTCAGAATGCACGTATCTCCAAGACTTAACATTATTAAGAGACTGTTTCTGCTGCCACAGGGCACAGACCTAACAAACGCACAAGTCTCCTGCATATTGGAACTTCAGACTTTCCTTAAAGCTTTGTGGGGAAAATAGTGCTTTTACAGCAAATTAAAAGGAAGTGTGCTTGGACATTGTGAGACCCCAAGTGGCCGCACAGGGTAAACGCAGTCTCAAAGAATATTTAGGCAAGTATGGAAAACTGACAGGAGGCAAATCTCTGGACTATAAGTAGACTCCATCCTGCAATATGTTCCTGGGTTGACTAGGCCTTGGGGCTATCCCACACCAGATCTTAATATCTGATGGAATGCCTAAGTTAGAGCATCCACTCATAAGACAAGAAGCAACAGAACCCAACAGAAGTCCCAGACCATCTTCCAGTGAGCTCAAGGGCCCATGTGGCCTCATGCCACTTTTAGTATGGTAGAAATGAAACCCTTGCTGCGTGTAGGAAAGTAGGAACAGAAAAGTCTCAGCAACTGAGACAGAGACGCTGGTGGCTAACAATGAAAGAGGATGTCTTCCAATCACAAGGCCTTTCAGGAAGTAAAGAACACTGAGAAGGAGGGCTCTCACAACAAGCCTATATGGACAGGCACTTCCCTTTCCATTTGTCTGTTATACAACAGAGGGATGGGATAATCTAAGGGTCACTGAGAGGTCGCACATACATCAGCTTCCTTTCCAGGCTGCCTCTACCAGGTTGGTGGTCTCACCCTCTTCACCAAATTGTGGCAATTCGGTCAGGCTGGTAGGAGAAATTTTAGTTATAGAGAATATACACAAACCCTTTTGGAAGGCCTAAGGGTTTTTACTACAGTAGTTGGCTAAAGGCAGCTTTGTCCCCTTAGTTAAATAAATTAAAGTAGAAACAAAAGAGTGTGAGATTACCTAACTAATTCGTTTACTCATGTGGTCCTATAAAGTAACCCTTACTCATTCCAGATAGCTCTCTCAAGGGGAGGCTGACCAGGGATATTACCAACTAATGGTGTTTACTTTAGGCCTCAGAACCTGGCATTTAATCTTCACCCTCTAATGGTGTTGATTTAAAGCCTTTGTCATTTAATGTGTGCTGAATAAAAGCCAGAGAGGCCAGCATGTCATGGCCGGTGGCTGCTATCTCTTTATAGCAGTCTCCTCAAGTATCTGTGAGTGACCACGTACACCCCAGCCTGCTCATTCACTGTATTCTGTGTCTGAGTGAATTTATTCATCCGTCATTGAGTCAAGGTCTACAGGACAGACCCCCACAGGTAGTGACTCCAACATCAAATCAAGGTTTCCAGTGGTTTATTTTACACGGCTGACACTGATCTTTCATCTGCCTCTCCTCCAAATCCCATAATTACCCTAGTCCCTGGACTTCTTGCCCCTTACAATATCTCTTTTGTTCTTGAGTGGACCAAGTGTTTTACTCTCTCCTTCTACCCCACCACTGCACATTGAGGCAGGGAGAAGGCACAGCACAAGAGGGTGACAGAGTGTGGGGGACTCCATGCAAACCCAATGCCACCATCAAGAACCCAAAGCACAGGCCTGTGACAGGCAGCCAGCAGCACCATAGTCACCCAGTGAAGGATGGATCTAAAAAGTCCCCAGATCCCTTGCAGGCCTCATGCATTCCCATCTCCCCACTTCCTGGTGCCTGGCATAAAACATGCTGAAGAAATAGCTAAGCAGTAGCTGATGATCCCAGTAGGCATCCAAGAGGCTGTGACTCCCGAAAACAGAAGGGAGAGGCTAGGTGTGGGGGTTGCATAGGAATGTGGTTTGCTGGCCTTACCTCCTTTCCAAAGCAGGTAGATGGGTACCACGTAGAGCATAACATGCTGAATGTAGTAAATCTCCAATTCAAAGGGGAGCTGTGAGGAGAGGAGGGAGAGAAGTGTTTCAGATCAGGAAGCACTCATTTCAATAGAGTCCAAAGTTGACCTCCCTTGCTGTTCAGGACCCACAATTTAGTAATCCCATGCATTTCCCCAATCACTTTTCTTTACAATTGCAGGAAAAAAAAAAAAAAAGAACAAAATGAATATTCTTCTGATCTACTTAGGATCTTCTTAAGTGTCTTTTGTAGAGAACGTACTTATAAATGTTCCAGTAAGAAAGTTTGGTTAAAAATTTAGGAGATGTGGCATATAATATATCCCTTTGGTGGTTTCTCATGTGTATTATTGGAATATGAAGGACCTAAGTGGTCCCTACAGACAAGAAACCTATTTGCCATTGTTTATCCAGTGTTTCCCAACCTTACTTAGCGAGTGACTCTTTCTTTTAAGTAACAGTTTGTTTTCTGCAAAATATACTTTAAGAATTACAACCTTACGTCACTTCCTGCTCCTGCAGACTAGATGGTGGACTATTTTAAGTTTATTTCTCATTTGGCATGAAGAACATATGGAGTAGAATTATCCCCATATTCCAGATGAACAAAAAAAAGATTGCTAGGTCTCATAGGCCTAGATCCAAGAATAAAGTTTCCCCATTGGATATTTGAGTATCAGCCCAGCATTAGCCGTACTTTTGAGTTTAGACCAAGCTGCTGGGCCAACTGTGGCACAGCTTACCAAAAAGAATATTCTCACTCCCCCTACATCCAACACACCCAGTCACCCACTCCTGTTTCCCAACCCTCTCAAAATGGAATCTCTGTATTATCAAAGCAGAGCATGTTTTGACCTGCCATAGGGGCCCTGCCGTAGAGTTCTGCAGCAGGCAGAGAATGGAAATGGTTCGGTGGCTAACTCAATTCTGGGGAAAAAAGAACTTTGGCAGCTGGCAAGAGGCCTCATCTCTAGGGCGTACCTAATCCCTAACACACACACACATACACATACCCTAAAGGACGCCAGGACAGACAAGGGCACCAGGTGAAAGGGTCAGCTGCCTCCCTGTTCCCCAGAGAGCAAGCACATAACGAAGACTGTGTGCTAAAGAGAGGAGGCAGCTACAGGCTCCCCACGCCCAGGAGCCCAGGTCTGCCTTGTGCCAAGGGCTGAAACCAATAAGATGGCAGAGCTCCCAAAATGGGAGCTGGGACAACTGTGGAGCCTGGAAACAGACATTGGCTCTGGGTCTTTAAAATAAAAATCCACATGGAAAATAATTTCCCAGGAACCCACATGCTGCTCAACTATTAACTTACACTCACTGAGGGAAATGTAAAAACTGAGAAAAGGAGGTAAGATTCCAAGTATCACTATAGACTCCAGCTGGAAAGGTCATGAAATTAGACTCTGGGCATTATCAGTACAAAGTAGCTATGGAGGCCTGAAAGGTCTACACTGGACCTTCACAGTACTGTGGTCTGAGATCACTCTGCTATCTTAAATTTAGGTACTGCTTTATGCTTTTCAAATGATTTCACATCCACGGTCTACTCAATGTCTCAAAATCCCCAGGAAGCAGGCAGGTAAAATATTATACTCAATTGACAGATGAGAAAACTGAGGTACAAAAGGGTTAATAATTTCACTGAGGTTACCCGGAAAACAGAGAAGGAAGAAAAAGTCCCAAGAAGGCACAGCTCTCTGGCTGAAATCAGCACCTTCACGTACCTAAGGGGCTTGACCTCTTCCTGAAATGGGCCTGGGAAGTCAGGTTGCTCTCCCCCAGCAAGGAGCTGGGCCAAGGGCAGGCAGTCACTAGTCCCAGGTGTGTCCTCACAGACTCCAATTGCTGGCCACCCACCTTGACTCACAGCGCTCACCTGCCTCTCCGTGCCACCCAACCCTTCTTGAAAGCAAAGTCTCCACCTGAATGTCCAGGGAGGCAGTTAAGCATTGAAGTTACAAGCTAAGACTTTGGAGTCTGTCAAAGCTGTATTCTAGATTTGACTCTGCTTCTCAATAGCCATGTGGCCTTGGCCAAGGCCCTTACCCTCTACCTCCGTGTTGGCATCAGTAAAATGAAAATACGTCTTCTGTTACAAGATTGTTGTATGATTTTTAAATTTAAAAAAATATAACAGACACTCGGAACTTCTTTTATGCCATGGACTATGAAAATCACTTTGTAAACTGTCAATTTAAATAAATCCTCATAAGAACTGTATTGTTCCACTGTCTGCATTTCAGAGATGGGACATTAAGGTATGGAAAAGTTACATAACTTACTCAAGGGTATACCCTCATTCGGTGACAGAGCCAGGATTCAAATCCAAGCAGTCTGGCTCTAGAATTTATAGTCTTAGCCAGCACACTCAGCTATCCTCTGCTTGTTTGCTCCCTCCTACAAAAGTCTGACTCATAAGAGATGCTCCATGGGGAGGAGCCACCCTTATGAATGGGAGTAGTCATAGTGGTATCAGCAACAGGACCAGGGGCAGGACATGCACATGTCCTCACTTGTCCCTCCACATGGTGATTTATCCTACTCCCTTCCTGTTTAAATGATCCTTATCTTCATAGCATGTTCTGCCCACCGTCTGTCACCCTGGCCCCACATCACACAGTAGCCAAACTTGCCTGCAATATAGGCCTCCCAGCTCCTGAGCCTCTTGTCACTGGCCCACTGCATCTCTGTAGCCACCGTGGCTACAGACTTGAGATGGAGTGGCCAAGATACTGTCCCCACCAGCAGTTTCCTTCCTCTGATGGCTGCCTCACCCCTACTCCAAGACTTCTCTACTTCATGGGGCCACAAAGAGTACTGACCTTGGTGCATATGCCACTGCAACCAAACCCAGGGAAGGGAAAGAGGAAATAGGGTAAGGAGGAAGTGTGGAAAAAGAAGGAGAAAAAGGGGCCAGGCACGGTGGCTCATGCCTGTAATCCCAGGACTTTGGGAGGCCGAGGCGGGTAGATCACGAGGTCAGGAATTTGAAACCAGCCTGACCAACATGGTGAAACCTTGTCTCTACTAAGAAAATACAAAAATTAGCCAGGTGGGGTGGTGCGAGCCTGTAATCCCAGTTACTTGAGAGGCTGAGGCAGGAGAATTGCTTGAACCCAGGAAGTGGAGGTTGCAGTGAGCCAAGATTGCGCCACTGTACTCCAGCCGGGGAAAAAGGGGGAGACCCAAAAAAAAAAAAAAAAAAAAAAAAAAGAAGAGAAAGGGAAGAAGGAAGAAGATGAGAAGATGTAAGAGAAAGGGGGAAAATAAGAAGAAACATAATGGTAAGAATAAGAGAGTCGAATGGGAGCCAAAAACTTACCACTTGTCATTTAATAGCATATCATATTTATTAAGTACTTATATTATGCACCACATACTGTGTTAAATACTTTTACATGTTGATATGGTTTGGCTGTGTCCCCACCCAAATCTTATCTTGAATTGTAGCTCCCATAATTCCCATGTGTTGTGGGAGGGACTCTGCGGGAGATAATTGAATCATGAAGACATTTTCCCCCATACTGTTCTCGTGGTACTGAATAAGTCTCATGAGATCTGACAGTTTTATAAGGCATTTCTCCTTTCACTTGGCTCTCATTCTCTCTTGCCTGTCACCATGTAAGACATGCTTTTCACCTTCTGCCATGATTGTGAGGCCTCCCAAACCAAGTGCAACTATGAGTCCATTAAACCTCTTTTTCTTTATAAATTACCCAGTGGTGGGTATGTCTTTATCAGCAGCATGAAAATGGACTAATAAACATGTGTTATTTCATTTAATTATTAAAACTTTCCTATGAAGTAGGGACTATGATCATGCCTATTTGGCAGATTGGAAACTAACAGAGAAAGTAAATAACATCCAAAGAAACAGCAATAAGCACAGGGATGGGGGAAAGGGCATTCAACAATGGGGAAAAGTTCTTTTTTTTTTTTTTTTTTAAAGAAATGGGGTCTCACTATGTCACCCAGGTTGGAATACAGTGGCTATTCTCATGCACAATCATGGTATGCTACAGCTCAGAGCTCCTAGGCTCAAGCAATCCTCCTGCCTTAACCTCCCAAGTAGCTGGGACTACAGACATGCACCATCATGCCCAGCTAAGACAGTTCCTTACTGAGCACTGAGTCTGGGCTGAGTTTCAGGAATTTTCTCAGGGAGCCTCCTCCGACCCTCTTTTCCCCATTTTACAAATAATATCTGTGAAATGCCATACTTCCCCAGAAAGATTTCCACTTGGTTAATTCATTTCTACACACTAGGGAACTCACATCTGGAATTCCACTCTAATGTACATAGCCTGGTTCTTTTTCTCCTGGAGGAATCCTGAGGCTATAGACAAAAAGTCCTCCATCAATGCAATCGGAAGTCAAAAGCAACAAAAAATGCTTTAAACAAAACAGGTCATTAACTATCTTCTCACAAGTCAACATCCTTTTTAGAATCAAAAGACCAGAATGGTAAAATTCTCCAGGCCTCGGGAGTTAGACTGCCTGAAACATTAGGTGAATGGACTCTGTTCATTGCAAGAATCTCAACCTCCTTCCCCACACTCTACAACCCTGGCAACTGCACCACCATCCTCTGCCATGGTGACCACTGATCCCACTATGCCCCTACTTCCCTGTTTACTTCAGTCACCTGAGCAGTCCCTTCACCTTCTTGCTTTAAGAAAACTTGGTTCTCTCTCTCTGAAGACACTGCTATCCTGACAGCTCAATCAAGCGGTGGGTGATTTTCCTTTCATATCACCTTGAACCACTGGGCCAAGGGAGTGCCACTCTGTGCCTCACAGATGCTTCCAAATTGCTGTCTCTTCCAAACCATTATCTCTGCCACTTTGCTCACCATCTCCTGATTTGAATCTCATGTCATGAGACTATGGCACCCACTACTCCTTTCTGTTGCAATCATTTACGGCCCCCTCCATGTATATCTTCTCCACTTCAGTCCTTGAAGGTTTTGCCTTTTCCCTCCCTGTGACTCATTTCCAACATTGCTTTGTCAAAATCCCTGTGGTATCAA